TCATTTCCAGGCCAATGTTCGGACCATCTACAGGCCTTAGCAACCCTTTCGGATCAGCAACACCACGGATGATCAACCCCGAACTGGTAGACCAAGGGTTACCACAAGGCGACAAGACCGCCATGTTGTGCGACAGCACGTGCAGAATCCCCTCAGACAAGCATCTGTGACAACACGTCAGACAGTGAGAACACACGAAAGACCTATCAATACCGATACAGCCCTTAGTCCGGGACTTAAACCCGAATGAACATGATTGGGACTGTACAGACTCTAAACCTTCTCGTCATGTCTTGGAATTGTGATGAATTAATCACTTATGTGTCAACATACTGTTCGCATAAAAATGGCTTTGATTCATTTAATAAGTTACTTTCTAGAATGATTTGATTAAAGTGCCTCTCTGATTTTGAAATCGTACAGGCGTTTTTTTTTTTTGTTTTTTTTTTGGCTGTTTAGTATATTATATATCGGAATTAGATTTCGCGATACCACTAGGAAAATTATAAATCGAAAAAAACTGAATAAATGAATTTTATTCAGCGATTGACCTATCCAAGTGTATTATTATTATTAATTTTTTTATCATATTGACTTTGTGAAAATCAAGTGGCAATGGTCTATAAAATGTGGCGTGTAAACAAATGACCGCTATTTCGGCATTTGCATATCCATGTTCAATACCTTTGTTTATTATCTATACTATAACATCCAGCAGTGATGGTGTCGCGCTTGGGAAGTGAAATGAAACAACTCATTCATCTGACATACTTTCCAGAATGACTAGCAGCTGTCCCATGCTAGAACTCATGGCCTAAAATAAGGTTAAATTCTCGTAGCACGGTTTCTTTGAAAATTCAAAGCTGAAAAACGGCACATGTGGACTATTCTGGCGCAGTTTACATAGGAATTTTTTGGCTATGCGCAAAAAATACACCACTTTTGTTACGATAATATTTGAATTATAATTCAAATTCTATCATCACATCAACATCAGAACTAAAATTCTATCAGTAACAAGGGTACTACATTTTTTCATTTCGAAGCACGTTCGTTTTCCAAGGCACCTTATGCTAGGCCCTGCTAGAACTCCCACGACTAGAAAGGAAAAAACATGCTGAGGTTGAAAAATCTCGAAGGGTTTTCGCGATTCAACAACACCGGGATCGAAACCGGGGTGGGGGGCTACTGGTTAATGGATCGGCGCTTTCCCCGCACCACTGAAAATTGGTTGAAGCTAACTACTGGATCAAAGCCGAGACCCCCTGGATAGTGACCTGTCGCCATACATGAGCTACCTTGGCCCCTCGATCTATCAATGGCTGTTCTTATATATTACGCTTATTTTGCCGAATCCGTCCACCGATAATTAATTGGTTAGGATCGATTTACCAGGGATGCTAATTCAATAGTTGTTACATAGGACACTCCAGCACCAAGTCCACAAATGAGACCATATGTTATAAGAGTTGACCAAATATAATGTAATACAGCTGAACAGGTCAGTAAATGGCCACCACTGAAAGGTAATTCAAAGGCAATTTTATATACTTAGAATAAGTCTAATATCGCAGGGTCGTGCACGGGTTTGGTGATACCCGGGGCATCATCCTAAATTGTATGTTTCCAAGACCAATGTAAAAGACCTAGTACTGCGTAATGTGAGAAAGACATTTAAAAACAGAAGAAATACACTTTTCTTCAAATTAAATAGAGCAGCGCGCACAACATCAATAATTCAAATTTAAAAAATAAATCACATATAACAAATCGTATTTTTGCACCCGGTGACTTTTAACAAAAGACACACGAAATTAGTTTTAATCTAAAACTTGATGTGTCCAATGACAATGAAATTATACGACTAATTTACATTAGCCCAATCCATGACGTGTCCATTCATTCATCGTCCTACATGTGTATTACTTAGTAAATTTAACTTCTTTTGATCATATCGTAAAATATATCCTGTCTTTGGACGGTAGTTTGAATATATTGTCGAAATCATCTGAAATGGGTTTTTACGTGCACGGCAATGTGCACATCTCGTTTGTTAAGGATAATTGTCATTTTCTATGCTAACATGGCTGTATAATATGTCGTCAACCGGTCAGTCGGCCCGTCGGTCAACAAATGGCTTGTTAACGCAATAGAGGCTATAGCTTTCGACGGATTCTTGTCAAATTTGGTGTGAAGCATTTATTTCCAGCGCTCTGTGAATTGCGTACCGTAGTTATCCCTTCTTTCCCGAAAACTACGTGAACGCGATAGCGGCTATAGGTTTTAATAGATTTTTCTTTTCAAATTTGGTTGAAAATCGAGTTACTTGCGCAAACAACGACATGAAACGCGTGAGTCTCAAACCTAAACGTTTAATAATGCTTCGTGCTCATCATCAATATGGTCCTTATTATAAAACCCAACATTGTGCATATACGCCGTTATATATGTTATCAAATTACCTAAAATATAAAATAAATAATTTATTGGGTGCAAAAAACTTGGACTGGCTAATTAAGTCTGTTACTTTAGTAATGGTTGCTTCGTTTAGAGCTTGGTCTATTACTAAGTCCAAATTATCTCCTTTATTTTAACCTCGATCAAAACTATCCAGAATTAAAAGAAAATGTTTCGTAATCAAGATATAATATATTATTGTTTACCATATCGTGCATTAGGGCTGGACAATAATTTCATTTGTGTTTACCGTATCGTGTATGTCAAAATAAAGATATATGTTCTAAAAGATAGCCACGTGGTACACCAGCACCGTCTTTTACACGAAGTATACAATTGCTTCATCCTTAACCTTAATAGCGCACTGTCCAGTATCATAAAACAAAATTTATAGTTGTCGTCCTTAGGGTATAAGGAATACGCATACCAAGTTCCAAGATAATCCATTCGGAATTGTGGCCTTCAGACGCTAAACAAACACATTGGGCGTGACTCTGCACCAAAATCAAAAGTTGCCCCCCCCCCCCCTTAGTCTATAAGGCATATATATGCCAAGTTTGAAGATGATCCTTTTAGAATTGCGACCAGTATACGATACATACAAAAAATGGACGTGGCTCTGCCTCTAGAAGTCGGGACATGCACCAATAGTTGCCGTCCTCAGGATAACGAGAATACATATACCAAGTTCCGAGACCACATATTAAAAATTGTTACCTGTAAGCAACATACAGACACACAAAGAAAAAATGGGTGTGACTCAGCCCCTGGGGGTCTGGCATTATTCACCAAGAACAATAGGGGTCATCCTTAGGGTATAAGGCATAGGTATGCAAAGTTTCAAACGGATCTGTTCAGAATTGCGACCTGTAGGCGACACAAAGACACACCAAAAATTGGGCATGGAACTGTCTCAGGGGAGTTTGGTATGCACCAAAAATTATAGAGGTCATCCTTAGGGTATAAGGAATACGTATGAAAAGTTTTCAGAGCGATCCATTAAGAATTGCGGCGAGACACAGACCACATAGAGAAAATGGGCGTGGCTCTGCCCTGGGGGTTGGGCATGCATCAAAAGGGGGATCCTTAGGGTATAAGCAATGTGTATGCAAAGTTTCAAGATGATCCGTTAAGAAATGCGTCGTGTAGATGACAAAGGTGTACGAATTTTCTCATATCTGCCGGGTATCTGATGGTGGGTGTGGTATCCACGCCCAAAATTCCAAGCCCCGAACTAGGCTTGATTAGCTGAAGTCCGTACCACCTAAAACTGCTTGGAAGGTTCAGCACCACCACAGGGATCATGAGTGACCGCTGCCAGTTTCTGCGGTAGGGTACCCATGACATACCTCTCTAGAATGTCACATGTAATCCATGTATTTTCTACAGGTGGCCCTGAAATAAATTCCCAATTAAAATTGCTTTACGTTAGGAGGAAAAATCCTTCACTCATTTACAGAATTTACTGGTAGGGCTCAGTAGTTTGTAACAGATATACTGGCAGGGGATGATCAGGCTGCTACCTTAACCCTTAGGTGAGACACGACTATTAAAGGAAAAGCATCAAGAAGGTACAGGTTGATAGCAAGCATGCTTTTACCTTTTGACAAGGAATGAAATATATTATATGTATACTGTTGTGATCTCTCCTAGTATACTCTGTATTTATACCATCAAGATATGCAGGGTGGAGACAAATTATCAGCATATCAGTACTCATTGCATTTTGTCTGATCATCTGACAAGTCTGGCAGATCTTGATCACTTTGTTCACTACAATCTGTATATAATCGGATCAACCATACAGAGGAGATGCCTGGGTGGGTGATCCGACTTTAAGCAGCATATAAGCTATCCTTTCTTCGAAGTCCATAAGCCAAGTTTTCTTATACATATACCTCAATGTTTACCTCGGTTTGTAGTCCCATCCGAGCGACTAGGCACACTTGTCAGTCTCGCAGTCACCACAAGTTGCGTTGTCGAAATCCGATCGAGTGCCATCGATCCACACCAGTATTCGAAATTTGGACGTTCTAGCCAAGACACCAGTGTTCTACCGTTGAACTATCGTGGTCCCAGAAAATTAACGAAAGGAGCCGTGTCCATCAACAAGAAAATTAGTAATTTTGTTATAAACATTTTATTTATTTATTCACATAATTGTCTGACAAAATCCCAATGTTATTTATTCATATCTGCTGGGTCTATTTTCCTATTTGGAAAATATGGTATCCTTATAAAGAACACCAATATTACACCTAAAATAGAAAACAATAGAAAAGAAAACAACCTAGATAGGTAGCTGACATATATTACAACTGTCAAACACATGTACTATTTAATGTAAAGAGTAGTATTATGTTATCAAGCACACTATGTATAAATAATCAAAATAGGCTTTTGACCCTATGGTGTCAGACATTTGTTAGTCCCGAAATGACCTAGTTTGTGTCGAGTGGACGTTAAACCCCATTTCTCTCTCTCTCTGTCAGACATTTGATTAACGTTGGTGTTTCTAGTCGGTTACCCACAGTTCCGTGCAAAACTCGCCATAACAGACCATTTCATTGGCTAATCCCTCACATCATCCAGAAGGCCGGTTATGTTACAACTCTTCCAGATCCTAGCTAAACTCCTTTTATTAGATTATTGATTGAACTGTTATTTAGATTAGTGATTGGGGCAATCGTTAGAGAGATTACCTAAGTAATGTCACCCAATAAAACTATCATTGATGATCATTCGGAACCATTACACTATATATTTAATCTGATCTTGCTATCGATAAATGATCAGTTTCAGTTAATTGCCAGGGGAAATACGTACCCGCGGTGTGTATAGCCCCTAAAGTCAATATTACATTCTGCCACCCAATATACTCCAATGAAAACCCGACAAATAATGGTGACACGAAGTTTGCTACAGCCTGTCAATCACAAAAGAAAATACATATTAGCTTTATTCAGAAATACATTATCGCCACACATAGCTATGAGATACGTAGTGTATTACAGTGTCGACTTAACTACAAATGAACCGCGTGGTCCATCACACGTACGTAGGAAAGTCTCTCCGTAATGCCTAGGACAGGCTAGTGTACTTTTTCACCCGATCGAGGCGATTTTTAAAATAGCTCGAACAAAATCGCCTGTGTGTCCGTTCGCAACGACACCGACTCTGCTCTCCGAACCATTCGCCTGACCGATCGCCCGTATGTAGCATGTTAGATATTTTCTGCCGAATATTTACACCGGCAATCGATTTGCCAGCATATCCGCTCATCTGCCCGCGTCCAGCGTATATTGTCGGGCGAACCATTTTCATAAGCCAATCGGTGACATTATTATTATCACATGATCTCAAAATGTCTTCCTCCACTGTCGAAGCGCTGGGTCTGGCGAAAGAAGAAGAGTTGGTGATTCTTTGTCAGATAGGACTTGCCCTTTTGACGTCACGATTCCAGGGTTTAGAAGCAAATAAATAGCAGCTATACCATAGCAAGCTTACATTTTAGGCGATTCGTCATTTTATTCAAATCTCGTGATCGACGTAATTTACTCGCAGAGTGGCGTACGCTGTTTATCCTAGTCATGTTCAATAATCTGAAACTCGATGACACTTTAACGAAGAAATACAAATTTTCACTATCAATGCGGAGTAAGCGACAACTATCGATTCCCATCAATTTTTATGGTAGCGTATAATTCGTTAGAGATCTTTACTGGATATGAGTGGATGGCCTAATGGCGTGGTTTCGATTTCCCGGTTGTACTGGACAAGGAGTACGGTTGTCTGCCCTACCTCGTGAGTTTTCTCCAGGTCCCCCAGTTTCCTCCCACTGCTAAAGACCCCTACGCGCAAGCGAATTATTGAAATAAAAAGGAACCATGTGTTAGCCCCGAAATGACCTAGTTTGTGTCGAGTGGACGTTAAACTCTCTCTCTCTCTCTCTCTCTCTCTCTCTCTCTCTGTGTTTCTGGATAGGATTAAGACAGACTCACAACTGAAGAGAAGATGATGGAAAAGTTGGTAGTAAAGTATTCAGGACCGTACATGTATCGCACTATGCACGCGGGAAAGATTATCGCTGCTGATGTTGTACAGGTCAGACCACACACCCAGAAAAAGAACCAATATTTTCCAAGGTATTTTGTTTGGTAAAAACTGAACAAAGGTAGAGTACCAAAAGCGACACTGACGACATATGTTATCTGGAAAATATAAATCATAGTTTTAAAAATCAAGATTATACTCAAACAAACAAACAACTCTTATTATAGCTTGCATAGTTTACATTAGTTGCTGTTAGTTGCAATATGATATTTTACTTCCACCTAAAATCATATTTTAAGGAGCCACAGTATTTATCTTAAACAAAGGTAAATATATGGTCTATTCACCTCATCTGAAAATTTCAGTTTAAACATTTGATATGTTTGTGTGGGTGTTAACTGCAAAACCGCTTAAATGGACCACCGTACTAATAAGTCACTAACACGTGGACGAAAAAGTTCCTTTCGATTCGTTAATTGTCAGTGTCTAGTCTTTCGGGTGTGAATTGGGTACATTTTCCGAATCCGGAACATTTTAATCGAGAGTTTAGCGACCCCCATACAGAGCCTTAATTATTATCCAGACATTATTCTCTCCTTCTTTCTGGATGAACCCGTACACCCACCTGATGTCCGGGAATAAATTCCAAAAACTGAAGACGCTTTTTATTGAAATCTACTGAAAACCGCCATATATTTACCTTCGCACTGTATTTATCAGCCAGAACTGATATTACAATTCTATAAACTGAGGTAGACAGTGCTGCTATTGCTCCAACACTGGATAGAAACTGGTCATCAAAAATAAAAACCTGGCCAAAATTCTGAAAGAACAGGAGCCCCATTGTGCTTAATATTTAATTGTGGAAAGGATTAGAATATAATATATCAACATTCGTTGATTTTTAAAATTGCATTTTATACACACGCGAAAAGGTAAATTAGAGCAAAACATACTAGAACCTGTTAGAATGATATGTTGTTCCGGTACGTGTAGTTAAACAAACTGTACGTACATGTAGTTAACACAAAATCTACATTAACACAAACTGTACATGTAATTAAACAAACTGTGTATTTAATAAAACAAAATGTATATGTAGTTAAACAAACTGTACATGTAGTTAAACAAACTGTACATGTAGTTAAACAGACTGTCTCTCGGGTACATGCAGTTCAAACAAAACGTCTCAGTTTACCACTTAACAGAAACCCCAACGCCCTCCCTAGGTCCGATCCATGCGTTTGCCGAAATAGTACCTCGGGTTCAAAGGGTAGTCAAAATTTGGCGCAGAAACGTTTACTATCAACATTGTGAAAAATTGCATTACCTTGTACAGAAATCCAATTTCATAATATGATGTACATAAACATAACATGGAGAACCATTGGACATAGGCCCCTGGGTCTGTTAATACTTCGTAAGGTGTAAAGCTTCTTTGAGCTACATATATACTGTAATAAATGTTTACACTTCTGTTACCATGCCATCTACCTTTAATCTCGTTGGCAGCTTTGTAACCCATAACCCTCGCCCCGCCTTGCTGATCTAATGAAACAAAACACTCTCACGCAAAAGTTTTCTTCCAAACGGTCTGACAGGCCGACGGACAAGCAGATTGTAGTAAAGATACATTATGGGAGATTAGATAAAGAGCTGGCAGTTCTCACTATAATAGTTAAAAACTAGATACTGTAAAGGGAATTGATCCACTCTGAACCGAGATTTTTGCGATTGAATTTTCGGCGTAGCCTCGATCATCATTACTAAAGTCGGTACGATAAAAAAAACATAGTCTCGATACATTATGGGAGATTAGATAAAGAGTTGACAGTTCTCACTATAATAGTTAAAAACTAGATAATGTAAAGGGAATTGATCCACTCTGAACCGAGATTTTTGCGATTGAATTTTCGGCGTAGCCTCGATCATCATTACTTAAGTCGGTACGATAAAAAAACATAGTCTCGATTATCCATTTCATGATTAAATCATGAATGGAAGTCGAACATCAAATCGTAACCAAATCCTATAAACATCACAGCTAGCGATGACATCTATAGTTTATTATGGTCTGGATAAGTTAATTAATGTCTAATTAATAATTTAGATAACATTTCAGGCCTAAAGAAAGACCGGTAATAGGAAGATTTAGCTCTTGCATAATGTATGTTTAAGTAAAATGAAAACTGTATGTGGGATAAACCAGCGGTTGCCATGCAAGATACGCCCACATTTTGCAACAGTTTGCAACAGATGGATAGAGAACAAGCTGAAAAAAACCGTGATCTTTGGTACAGTATTCGTTCTTTAAGTCCGGTAACTTCATATGATACCTTTATCGGTCTTCAAACTTCTTACAATTAAAGACTACGTAATTAGCTTGTATTGAGGAAGCCATGGTCCTAGCTTGGCTTGGCACCCTAGGGTGCCAACTCCTAAATAACTTACATGGCCGCTCTCCTGTCTTAACTGTAGACGCCCTCGCCTTGACTGAATAATACCCCTTCTAGACAAAGGATCTCACAAGATTACCCATCTAGCTATTGCATCATAACAGAGTAAGCGTTCAGCACAGATTGCTTTACAAGACAAAAGGCATTACCTAATACAGGCCAGCCATAAGTTTATATTATGGCAATGACTTATGAGTGCCATCTAGACAACCATAGATGACAATAACCGACATAAGGATATTTTAATCAAATCCGCTTTCATGTGTCATAACGTATCCATAACATCAGCCATTGTGTAACCCTTTTCGTACAAACAGGGGCCATAATCCAGGAAGTTATGGTTTGAAATGCACGAATATCGACAGGTGCTGTGATTTTTGGAATATAAACATATATTTTTAAGTTACATCAAAATCGGAAAAAAATTGTGACTTCTAAAGGGCCCACAACCTTCGTATTAAAATACTTTTACACTATTTGAGTTCAAGCAGCGACCATTTTGTCGCGCAGTTTCGGTTAGATAATTACGAAATTCGAACTCAACCATCATCAGTATGTTTAAACGTTTGAACGATTTGTAAAATCGGATAAAACTTGCGGCCCACAATCTAAAATCAGGGATAAACTAGATACGCCCACATTTTGCAACAGATGGATAGAGTACAAGCTAAAACAATTCACCGTAATTTTCGTACAAACAGGGGCCATAATCCAGGAAGTTATGGTCTGAAATGAGCTGATAACGAAGGAACTGAGATCTTTGGGATATAAACAAATCTTTTGAGTTTCATCAAAATCGGACAAAAATGGCGACCTCTAAAGGGTCCACAACCTTCGTATTACATACTTTTACACCATTTGCGTCCAAAAGCGGCCATTTTGTTATGTAATATTTTTAATCTCTTTAATTTGACAATGAATAATTATATCCCCATCCCAAACCCTGTTCTGTTGCAAAAAGCCCAGTAGATATCATAAGTTCTGCTCCCAAAAGTCAATGCTTCATATAATACATACAGACATGTTTGGCAGTGATTAATTTTATCCCCATCCCTAACCCTGCATGTTCTGTTGCAAAAGTCTTCATATAATACATACCTTTTATTTGAAGTTTTAGATGGCGGGTCATTATCATTAATATCATTTCCAAACTCTTCCTGCAAATAAGATATCGTGTCACATTAATTTGAATTCTTTATTTAAAGATCCATTATGTAAGATTTAGATAAAGAGCTGTTTTTTACGTCAATGAATTACAACATTACTTTTTTTTTAAAAAAATGACATGGTTAGCTAATGATGTGCTAGACATGACTCATCTAATGAGACATGTTTCTATCTAATGACAGTCTTTGGTGTACAAAGGGTAAAATTATCCCTCTCGCTTGGGTGGGACGATTTACCCAATACCGACCACTACCACGCCACTCCCAATACATACTACAACATAATGATGCAAAATGGACATATCATTTGACCGATGTCTGGGTGTTCCATTTGCCTCCATATATCATAAATGAACATTTCTACAAAATGTCTCACGGTAATATTCTATATTTTAAGGGGCATCCGAAACAATATACTTACATAACTCAAATCAGGTGGACTAAAAGAGAGTCCAATACCAATAAGTTGTAAAATAAATATTGTTATTCCAAGCAGTGGAAATACACTGGGGACTTTTTCTACTAAACTTGTTTGGTTAAACAAACTGAAATGATAGGAGAATCAAACAGAAACTTTAGCATTCAAAATAATAATGTTCATCAGAACAAGCATTCTAATTATAGCCAATTACAGACAAAAGACAACTATTTGTTTCAAGAATTACAACGAACATTAATGAGCAAACTGATTCAAACATGGAACCTATTTCGTTTTTTTTTTTTTTTATAGTTTTTTTCCGTTTTACTTGTCTTTACTACACTAGGATCTGGAAGAGTTCGAGTTCTTATATAACCCGCGTTCTGGTTGATGTGAGAGATTAGCCAGTGAAACGGTCTGTTGCAGCGAGATCTTGGCGTGGGATGCACGGAACTGTTGATATCCTACTAGAAACATTAAAAGCCGCTGGTATGACCCCAGACGCGACCTCCCACTACAACCGGTCAGATCTTCGTGTATTAGAGGCCATCGAAAGTATAAAAACGAAAAGAAATACAGATCTGTTTTGTAACCAGGTTGATTATTGGTCGACTGCCAACGACAAAATCGTTTAAAAATCATAGAATATGAACTTTGCTAATAGTTTGTTGTTACAAGAAAAGCAGTCTGCTTGTGTTGCCGCTGATTTGCTATTGTTTATAGCATGCAATACTCCTCGCAGTATTTCGTTTGATAAGACCTAATCCCACTCAAGCACTGCCGTAATGAAAGCAAATTTCTGTTCCAAATTAGGACTGGTCAATAGTCCGATTAACAACCAATGCCTAACTGCGTAACAATGTCATCCGGGTTTAAACAGAGTCCCACATTGTTCACATAACGTTACGTCATGACTCACGAAATTTTTACCCACAATTAACCAGTGCATAGCAGAATATTGTACAATGTAAACAATACTGTTTGGAGACGAACAATACTTTCACCGTTTTTAATACCTTAAATCACTGTCCAAAGTTTTAGGGAAACCCCAGATTAAACGAAGGGCTGTCATGTTGCTGTACTTATGAGAGATTTGATTGAACAGGAAGAATAGACATACTCCCTCCATGACAGACCTTGTGATATCATGCACACGCGTTTACCATTTGCCCCCCCCCCCCCAAATAATCTTTGAATGGCATTTGGTAACTGGGTAACAACAAAACACATACTTGTGGAAAACAACATTACTGTATTAGCTTAATGGCATTGAAACAATACTCCTCGAAACGCGGCCTTAAATGTGCTAAGTCTCCTGCTCAGTAATTTCCATAATATTCGAAATTAAAAACACGAATTAGAATTCAATATTGATCAATTTCAATCAATATTGATGTTGTTATCTTGCTGTGGATCTATAGAATCCTAATATCCAATATTTAAGACACAATTAACATTTTATAATCAGTACACGAGTCGTGTACCCTATGGTTTCGGGTGCCATTTTGTAATGAACAAATAAAAACATACCCTATAACACAATGTGCAACTAATTGGTAAAACTGATCACAAACAACAAAATAATAATTTAAAAATCGTGTAGAATGCACCAAGTTCAATCTTTCAAAAACTGAATATAAACCACTTTACATACATTCATATCACATTAATATGTGCCTTCATTACCATTTTTGTCAATTTCACCCCCCCCCCCCCCACTTTAAATAAACTAGTAGCTGTTTTCCATAAGTATGTGTTTTGTTGATACTTGCCAAGTTGAAGTGATCAGTCCTGCTGTGCTAAGGGGTCACAGGGGGTTGGATGGCCGAATAGTTAGCGCGTGCGCGTTGTATCATAAGGTAAGGTCTGTTATTGAGTCATCTGGCGTGGTTTCGATTCCCCGATTGTATGTGACAAGGAATAGGGTCGCCTGTCCAACCTCGTGAGGTTTCTCTGAGTCCTCCGGTTTCCTCCCACTGCTAAAGACCCTTACGCGCAAGCGAACTATTGAAATAAAATTGAACCATATTTTAGTCCCGAAATGACATAGTTTGTGTCGAGTGGACGTTAAACCCTATTTCTTTTTCTCTCGCTAAGGGGTCACACGGCTCCACTGTGAACACATCTAAGGTTTGACCCCCTTTATGTCTAAATATTGCATGATCGGTGGTCAAATATTTTTATTACCTTAATGAACCAAGTTGAATGTCTGGTGACAGGTTCCCTGGGTTAACATAAAAAGAAACCATGTAGTTGAACACCAATCCACCAAAACTAAAACCAGCTGTTACCATGGAAGTAGCAGTTGCTACATTGGATGGAAACCACTGAAATTTGACGAATATATTGATAATCTTTTATTTTATGACATAAAATTAAAAAACTAGAACAATTAG